GCTTGTGGGGGAGACGGGCTCCCCTATTTCCTTTACACCAGCCCGAGAGCGTGACTGCTTACAGCAAGCCAGGGACTTGCCCAAACTGGAGCTCCCCCCCCTCCTCTCCCGGCCCCACAGCGGGACGGTGAGAGCGGTGCGAGCACTGCCGTGTCAGGCCCACTATGCGGGGACTTTGCGGGAGGGAAACAAATCGGTCCCAGGGGTGGGCAGAAAGTGCCCGGACCCTGCAGCTCCGCTGATCTCGGCGCCACTGAGTAGCCCCGAGAGTTGGTTTGCAAACGAAAATCCCCAGGTGAAGTCGAGGAGCTGGGCACCGCACCGCCCTTCCGCCCTAGCGGGGTTGCTCCTTGCATCCCGCTTCTGGTTGCGTTTCTGGACCCGCGGGTTTCGTCCCTGGTCGGCCCCGTTCTGGTCCCGGCCCCGCGGCCGGAGACCTCCGCGGGAACGGCGACTTCTCCATCTTTCTCTGCCGGGGAAATTTCGGGGCTTCGAGGGGCCTGTGTGTCCCAGCCGGGCCGGACTGGGCCGGGCCGGGCGCGGTGCCCCTGACCCCGGCTCCCAGGCTGGATGCGAGCACTCGGGTCACATTTATTTTTGGTGCAGATAAGTTTCTTCCCCTGTAAGGAGGTGGTTGCTAGGGAAGGAAGGATCGGCCGATAGCTGTACAACGAGCTCCAGAAATGGGCTCTGCTGGGGAGCTTCTCCCCAACCCCACAACCTTCCCCGGTACCCCGGTGCCCCCTTCCCATCACAACTGGGTGCCGACGGGCGCCCATCTCGGGACGGTTGTTTTCCGAAGAGAGCAACGCCGTGCAGTGCCCGGCGGCGGCGGCATCAGGGGATACCTGTAGGTACATTTTACCAGTCGTTTTTCAGGAGTGGACTGGGACAGGGACCACAGACCCCGCCGTGGCTCTCCGTCCTTCACCGCGGGTCCCACCGGGGGCACTCCGCCCCTCGGCACTCTCAGCCCCAAACTTGGAGGGGTGCTTGAAGAATAAAACAATTATTTATGTCTTAGGTTCCCGGCTCGCCCTCCTGGCCTTTGAGAGATGCTGTGCTAAGACTAGCTACCAGCTCGAAGGCACGGAGTTTTGCTCCTCTCTCCGCTGCTAACAGGGAGCGGTAACGTGTTTAGACCACTTCAACTAGGCAGACATAGCTGGGAGCCATGCACGGCTCAGCTATGCCGGGAAAGGAGGTGTCATTTGTACGCAGTTACTTTGGTGATCAACACTTGAATGATATATGCCGCCTGCTTTAATTATATTCCTGTGACATTTTCCTGGACAGGAGCGGACCGCACACAGCCAGAGCCGGGCAGCCCCGGGAGCGTCCTGCTGCTGCCCGCCGGGCCCGGGACTGTTCCGGGAAGGGCAGCTATGCCCACACCCCGAAATACGGTTCTGGAGACGGCAAGAGGAGAGGCTTCCAAAGATGCTACTCGGAGCCTGAGATTTTTTTTTTTTCTTTTTTTTTTGTGTGTGTCCCCACTCATGAGGAGTTTTGGTTTCAGCGGCAGTTTTCTCCTCTGTGAGGAGGAAACGCCGCAGTTTTACCCGCTTTTCTTCCACGATGGAAGGCAGGGACCCAGACCGACACTTCTCCAAAGGTTTCAGGGACGCCCTCATCCATCCCCCAGGACATCCAAGGGCCGCCGTGCCCCCCAGCCCTGTTTCTCCCTGTCTCTCGATTGGGGACCCGACTCAAACTTCTGCCTGCCCCAGGAGTAGGTCAGTTCTAGGTCCCACTCAGAGGGGCTGTTGCAGGTAGAAGCGGGGAGGAGGGAGGGTGTTGGAGCGCATTGGGTGAGGGTGTTCTTCCCCAAACAACCTCAAAGCTGGGATACACGACTAGCAGCTGCGTCCCGGCGGGACGGGCAGAAGAGCCCGGCGGGATGAGAAGTTCCGTGACGGTGGCTGGAGCAGGCCCCCGGCTGTCCCCGGGGCTCCCTTACTCTCAGGAGCCCTCTGAGGACACTGAGATGCAATGGGACACGCCGGGGGGCACTGAAGGTCCCTAATTCGGGGTTGGGTGCCAAACTGGCTGCCAAAAAAGAAAATTAAAATAATTAAAATCTGAAGGATGAGGAGGGGAGATGAAGAGCTCTCCCCCTAAGCCGGGCTGTGGGCAGCCCAGCCCATCCCCGGTGCACAGAGAGGGAGTCGTTTGCGAGAAGGGAGATGCAGCGGTTGCAAAGGAAAGAAAAGTCAGCACAGGACAAACGAACCCAAATCCGCCAAAGGCAGCACCGGGCAGCCGAGAGCGCAGCGGAGAGGGTCCGGTCGGAACCCGCCGGGACAACCACCGAGAGCCGGGGTACTCGGGGAAGGGGGCCGCGATCTGCCCCCTTCCTTCTCAACCCCTCTTTTTTCAGTGAGGTGCTATCTGGGGAGGGACGCTGGGCACAAGGGCAGGCGACAGGCCTAGAGCCACCGGGCTGAGCTATTCATGCAAAGCTTGAACCCGGCTACCCCCTACCAGGCAGGGGCCGAGGCAAACGAGGAAGGGTCCCTCTGTGCCGGGAAGTCTGTACTGAGGCTGCTGTCCGTTCTCCCCTGGGCTCTGCCCCTATTAGGGAGCCAAAAGTAAAAAAAAAAAAAAAAAAAAAAAAAAAAGGGGAGACGCAGGCTGGAGGGACAACGGGGGATCCAAAATGGTTTGCAGGATTTCGCTGTGTCTGAAGCACTTTTGCCCGTTTTCTGAACGAAATGGGCTGTGCTGGAGAAGGGGGGGGGGGGGGGGGGGGCGCGGGTAAGTTGCTGCCGTGTCCGCACTCCGCTCTGCGGGAAAGGCTGCGGCCGGTAACCGGCTGCGCCTCAGAGCATCCCGTACGCCCGCTAGCCCGCCCAAACTCGCACTCAGGAGCGAGGCTATTTTTCTTTCGTTTTTTCCCCTCCTTTTTATTTTTTTTAAATCTTATTTCTGTAATTATAATACCAGCACCCCGGCTGAGTTCTCAATAAAACCTGGATCCTGACATAAAACGACACGCTGGAAAACAATGCGAGGGGACACAAGGGAGAGGAGGAAAGTCTCTAATTGGTTAAAATATGTTTAAATCACTTCATAAAACCCAAGCAAAGCGAAGCAAATAATCCACCTAGCAAAGCAAAGAAGCCGGGCGATTTAGAATCAGTGTAATTCGCTCCCCCCCGACCGGCTCCCCCCCCCATCTCCTCGCAGTATTTGATATGATGAATAACCCAATATAGGCCTTTAAAAATAGGTCACTGCATAAAGAGACTCCCAGAGAGCTATAAAAAATGGGAAGAGGGCGCTTTAAGGAGAGGAGCCATTTGCTTCTTTTGTGCTTGTTTGGTACCTAGCGGCCTGGGAGCTGCCAGCCGTCCTCCTCTTGGCCCTCAAGGTGAGGAGGGAAAGTTGGAGCCCAATCCAAGACCCCGTTTCTCTTCCTGCCCCACTGCCTCTGCAGCCACCGCCCGTCCCGTCCAGCTCCAGCCCGGGCCGCGGCTCGTGTCCCGGCCGAGGTTCCCCGGGGACCGTGGGGGAGCGTTCACGCCCGCAGTGGGGGCCAAGCTGTTCACCCCGGCTCTGGGCTTTGTCTCCGTCCCTGCGGAGAGGCGAGACAGAAGCGGGATGGTGATCCGCGTTGAAATACTAAGGAGCGGGTCTGGCCCCGTGGAGAGCCGGGCCGGGCCGGGTTCCCCGAGAGTGGGGGACACAGCAACCCCCGCCACCCCTGCCCCTCTCCAGAGCCACCCGCGGGCTCGTAGCAAAAGGACTCGGGCTAGAAACCGGCCCTCCCCGACTCTCTCCCCCCGCGCTGCTCCCGGCCAGGACCACCCGGCGCCACCGGAGCCCAAGGAGCCGCCGACATCTCCGGAGCGCTCCCGGCCCTCAGCCCGCCACGCAATCCCTCCGTGGGCTCTGCCGACACCGGGGGGGGCCCTGCTCCCGCCCCGGGCCCCGCAGCACGCTCCGACACAGGGCGCTGGGAAAGAGGAGCACGACAAATTCGGCGGAAACCTTCGGGTTTTATTGGAAAGGAAAGGTCTGCCTTACCTGGAACCAGGCTCTCCCCTTCTTCCCCTCATTAAAAAAAAATTAAAAAAATAAAAAAAAATCAAAGGCCTCTGGGTAGAGCTGGAGAGAGATGTTTTGAATAACCTGGTAGCAGAAATTAGCAGGAGGGAGAAATAGAAAGAAAACAAAAAATAATCTCGGGGGGAAGAAAAAAAAAGACACAGCCAGATATTTTTCGGTTTGTTTTGTTTTCGCATATTATTATTTTTCACTATACTGTATTATCCTGATGCAATAAAGGCTGGTTTGTAATGTAATTTAAAAATATATATGTCCAAACAAATAGCAGGGCCAGAATATGACAAGTGCATTCAGCATTATAATTCAACTGGGCTCCACCTCCATACCGCCTCCTAATTAATGGGTCTCCGAACTTGCAAAAGCCTGCATTGGACAGAGAGAGAGAGAGAGAGAAAGAGAGAGAGAGAGAGAGGGCGAAAAGTGTCATTGAAGATAATTGATTACCTCCCAATCAACAATAACTTGTTAGCAATAGTCAATTACCCCATCTCTTCTCGCTTCTTTCCCCCTGGTCCGAAGTCTCGGTGCGAGGGCTGCTCTTCCCCTCTACGAAGTCTGCTTTTTCTTTTTCATCTTTCTTTTTTTTTAAATTATTTTTAAAAATTATTTTGGGGTGGGTATTAGCTGGAGGTGGGGGGGGCAGGGAAAGTGCTGTGATTTGGGGTGTTTCTTAAAATAGCAGCCAGAAAGAGAAAGAAAGGAGAGACAGGAAGAGAGAGAGAGAGAGAGAGAGAGAGAGAGAGAGAGAGAGGAGACAGACAGGAGGGGGGGAAATCTCCGACCCAAAACCCTGGGACAAGAGGTACGGCAGGACCACCTCTCGGCGAGGGACCGACGGCAGCTCTGCTCCGCTCCGCGCCCGCCCGCCGCCCTGCCCGCCCGGCCCGCCGCCCGACGTGGCTCTCCCCGGGAGGACCCGGGGCTCCTCCGCCGGAGTTGGAGGTGGGCTTCAACTTTTGCTCGCTGTCTTCGCTGCCGTCACCCCGCGGTCCCGCCGGGGGCTTCTCCCCGCGGCAGCGCATCCCCGTCGCGGGTGGGGAAGGCAGCCCCGTGCAGCCCGGCCCCACCATGACTTCCAAAGAAGAACCCAAGCCCTCCTCGGGGGAAGAACGGCGGCGGAGCCCCTTGGATCACCTCCCACCGCCGGCCAACTCCAACAAGCCCCTCACCCCCTTCAGCATCGAGGACATCCTCAACAAGCCCTCGGTGCGGAGGAGTTACACCCTCTGCGGAACGGCCCACCTCCTCTCCGCGGCCGAGAAGCACCCCCCGGCCGGGCTGCCCCTCTCCGGCCGGGCGCTGCTCTCCCAGACCTCGCCCCTCTGCGCCCTGGAAGAGCTGGCCAGCAAGACCTTCAAGGGGCTGGAAGTCAGCGTGCTGCAGGCTGCCGAAGGTAAGCCTCTCTCAGAGTAGGGGGGTCCTCCAACGGGTGGGTACCCCGCTCCTCCCCACGGCCTGGTTTTCCTTCTCTCCTCGTCCCCCGCCATCTCCCAGAGTGTCGTATGGGGTGGGATGGGGGTCCCTGGACGGCCCGTATCCGGCCGGTACCCGGCAGCATCCTCCCCCATAGCCCTCAGGGTTGCGGGAGAGGGGGCTCTGCCCCGCTCCCTCCAGATATCGACGGGGCAGGGGTGTGGGGTCCTGGGGCTCGGGCCGGGGTGGACAAGGGAAAGCGGGGACAATCTGGCGGCTCGTCGGCAGGCCGGGACGGGATGACCATCTTCGGGCAGCGGCAAACGCCGAAGAAGCGTCGGAAGTCGCGGACGGCCTTCACCAACCACCAGATCTACGAGCTGGAGAAGCGGTTCCTCTACCAAAAATACCTGTCGCCGGCGGACCGGGACCAGATCGCCCAGCAGCTGGGTCTCACCAACGCCCAGGTCATCACCTGGTTCCAGAACCGCCGCGCCAAGCTCAAGAGAGACCTGGAGGAGATGAAGGCCGACGTGGAATCGGCCAAAAAGCTGGGCCCCAACCCCGCCGTGGACATCGTGGCCTTGGCCGAGCTGGAGCCCAGCGCCGAGGGAAGGGGCAAGGCGCGGCCCGGGTCCCCGCCGCCGCCCCCCGCCGCCGCCCGGGAGCCCGGCGCTCCGCCGCCGCCCCGCCCCGCCTCGCCCCCCACGGATCGGCCCCGCAGCCGCCGGGACAGCGAGGAGGAGGAGGAAGAGGAGGAGGAGGACGTGGAGATCGACGTGGATGACTGAGGGGCGGCCGGCGTCCCCCCCCATGTCCCTCCCCCCCCATCCCGACAGCTCCAAACCGGCACCCTCGGCCCCCCATCCCGGCCCCGGCAGCGCGGCGGGGCGGCTGCTCCCCTCGGTCGGAGCAATAAGCAATAGAACCCCACCACAGACACACACCCCCCGATTAATTTAGGGTAGAGTCGATATCCCTCCGCCTGCCACATCTTCGGAACGGTGCAATTATGGACGGCTTCTGTACAAATATTTAAACTTATATATTGGAATTTTTTTCCTTCCCCCTTCTTTTTGAGGTTTTGATTATTATTTTTTCTAATAGCTATCAGTGATGATTATTTTACCTATAAGGGAGACGCGTAACCTTGGAATAAACCTGGCTTCCAACAGATGTTTGGGAAAGCAGTTGTTTTCAAAGACTTCCGAAACAAACCGCTTTAGAGAAGATTTAAGTTAGGCTTAAAACGGCAACAGCAAAAAATTAGCCGCTTTCCTTTCCTTGCATGTTTCAGATGTGCACGAACTAATTTTTTTCCTTTTAAAAATATTTTTTTCTTTCGCAATCTTGGGGACTTGGGGCTGGGTGATAATGCAAGTTGAAAAATATATACTTTCTTTTTTTTCCTAGAGCATAGAGATTTGTCTCCAATGCAATTTCTGCCTCATTTTACCAATTAAAAGCTATTTTTACCATTTTCTGCTATTGTTGTGCTTTTATTAAAAAGCTGCCTTTCGTATTTTTGATATGAAGGTGGTAACAAAAAAAAAAAAAAAAGGAAAAATAACAAAATCCTAGAATTATTTTTTACTCTTTTTAGAATTTTTTTGCATGCTATGGAAATAAAAAAGGACAAATCCCAAAATCAATACATTTAAATATTACACTATAAATTTTAAAAAAATGTACAGATTTAAGACCTGGTTTTGTTTGAATTGTACAAATTTTAAAAGGCCTGCTATTTAAGTTCCGATAGGGACAATGTCGCTTTATTTACTGTCTCTTAGAATTGTACAGATAGCTCCTTTTTTTCCGATACAATAAAATCTTTACCATTTTAATATACTTTTTAACGTCCTTCATTTGTGACCGAAAAAACAACCCCGCCGGTCCGAGGCTACGCCAGACTTTTCCCCCACAGGAATTTCCCATCCCGTTTGCATTTAAAGTTACTCTGAGAGCAGTGCCTGCGAGAAAAATGACGGGAAAGGAGCACACGAGCTAGACCAATACTATTATTTAGGGTTTTTTTATAAGTCTAATGCCCGGCAGAGTTTAGCAGAGGAAGAACGCGGAGCATCGATAAGGCCGGAGGTGCGGGCAGCGCTTCCCGGGCGCGGGGGATGCGCGGCGGCGGCGGGAGCGCGGAGGGGCGAGCGGAACCACCGGGACCCGGGGCCCTCCCGCTGTCAGCGGGGCATTTCCAGCCTGAAATTGAAAGAAGGGCAGAGAAAAAAAATGGCAAGAAAAAACAAATCCGAGCGACAGCAAGGAGTTATCAGCGATTTGGACAAAAGGAGCGGGGTGTGCTGCGGGGGGAGCTGCCCTCCGCCCGGCGGCCAGGCCTCCCGTGTCTGGCCAAAAGCTGCCACGGGGACACGGGGATGGAAAATGTTTCGTTTCCTCCCTTTAATTATTTTTATTTTCATTTCTTCCCTCCTTTTTTTTTTTTCTTTTTTTTTTTCCTTTTCTTTTTTATTTTTTTTCCCCATCCAAAATTAAAGCTCTGGTGAATGTGTTTTCTCTTGGCAGCGTGACTTGCCTTTGGAGTCGACCAACGTGTGTTTCTCCCTATTCTTTGTAAAATTTATGTGAGAATGGCAAATCTGGTGTACAGTGGTGGAGTCGGCAGAGAAGTGTCCAGATAAGACGGGGTTGGTTTGTGGGTTGGATTTTTTTTTTTTTTTTTGGTCCAGTTTCTCCGAGGCTAAATAAATCTTTCTCCTCTTTGAGAATGGATGGGGTTGTAATTTTTAGCGTAAAGCATGAAAACTGGGGACAAATGAGCCCTCTTCTCTGAAGTGACAAGCGACAATGGAGCATATACAGCCTCCTGCGGTTCGCCATGCTGAAACAAGCGTGCCCCTCCGCAGCAGAGAGAAGGCGAGCGCTTGGAGACCATATGGTTTTTGAATTTTCTTCACAATTTCCAGACAATTTGATGGATTAGGTTAACCCTCCCTTCCACTGTTTAACTCCACAACAATGGGAGCAGAGCTGTTCTCCCTTCGTCGGGGCATCTGTGCGCTTCTATTCTTTTTCCTTTCTCTCTTGGTATTTGGAACAAGCCTATGAATTACAATGAAATTCACTTTTCTTTAGTATTATTTGGAAGAGCACTTGTTTTCCGCCACCTCCCGCCCCCACTCCGCCATCCCCTCTTTTTTTTATTTTTCTTTTTTTTCTTTTTTTCTTTTTTTTTTAACCTCCGAATGATAGCTTTGACTTCTGTCCAGATCTCTCGGAAAGCCTTCAATCTTGTCCTTAAGTGTTTTTATGCTAAACAGGGAAATCGTAAATGCTGAGAAACGGTGACATTTATGTGAAGATCTAGTTAAAGGGCTTTATTTGTTTTCTTTATCTGTTTTTTTTCCCCATTCCCTCTCCTGTTCCCCCTCCTCTCGTGTCCCCTCCCTCCCCCCAGTCTTTTATTCTTTTGTCTTGGAATGGATTTAATGAGGCTGCAAACAGTACAATTCACTATAACCAAGAAAAAAAAGAAAAAAGAAAAAATAAAAAAAGAAAGAAAAAAAGTGGCTGAGTGTATGGAAAATAGGCTGGGAGTTAATTTGGGTTTCTGATCTATTGACTTCTGAGTGCAAAGAGAAGAGATGCCGGGCCGCCTTGCACCCGCAGAAGTTTACCACACGTGGCTGGGGCGGGTTAGTAAATAAAGCCTCCTCCTGAAGATTTGTAGCCTGTTAATTTGGCTAGCCCCCTATTCCCAGATAACTGGGATTTTGACTGTTTAATCTGCGTTTTGACAAACAAAAGATTTTTTTTTTAGCTTAAAAATGAAGCTCTGGATTGTGCCCTCCGTTTGCCTTCCTGTTTGAAATGCGCCGTTCCCTGGGATCACCTACATGAGTAGATCTATTGCTCGGGGTTTGCTCTCCCTGGAATTTTAGATACAATACGGTTTTGGTTTTTGTTGTTGTTGTTGTTGTTTTTTTGTTTTGTTTTGTTTTGTTTGGGGTTTTTGTTTTGTTTGTTTTTTTTTCCTTTAATGGTATGTTTGTTTGTTTGTTAGTTTGTTTTCTGGTTTCTGTTCTTTTTTCGGGGGACGGGGTGTAGGAGTGGGACTACTGCTTGTTTGTCGGATGGTTTGGGGTTTTTTTTCCCCGCAGCAGCAATAGGGACGCGGCGACAGCGCTGAATAGTGCCCTCAGGAATGACTCAGCCGCAGCCCTTCCCGGCCCACTCGGAGGGCTGCTGCCCTGGACGCGGCATGGAACCCCTCCTGCCCGCGCCAGATTCCCAGATTTACCCCAAATTAGGGATGTCCGGATCTGCCTCGCCGACCCAGGAGCCGCCGACCGCTCCCGTCCGTGTCCAGCGCTATCCCGGAGAAGGAGGGCGCTGGGCCGAGACCCCCAGCTGGAACTTCCTGGCCAGGGACACCTGGGGCAGCGGTCCCCTTGTCCGGCCTTCAACCTGCCCCCAGTACTTCCTGCACGGATTCACAGCGGGGGGCACAGTCCGTCCCGTGTCCCACTCCCGGCAAACCCGCAGCGCTTCAGAGCTTCTCGCCCCCAGCCCGGTGCTCCGTGTCCTGGGCACCGGCTCACGGCGGTTCGCCCTGGGAAAAGGTGGGCATGGGGAAGGGGGAGACACAGGCCTTTCCCAAGTGATTCTTGACAAGAAAAATAAAGGCGTTAATCCGCTTAAGCACCCCAGGTCCTGGCCCGGAGAGGTGAAAACTAGCAATTGGCAAAAGAGTGTGTGGGAACATGGAAGTGCCTTGAGGGAGCCAGCTGGGGGCCCGGAGGTCTCTCATCACCCGGCCCGTCGGGGGCTGTGCTGCCCCGTGTCCCCCGCGTCGGGGGGGCGCGGGCACCTGGTGCGGGCAGGGGCAGTGCGGGCGTGGCGACCCCCGAGGGTTGGGTCCAGCCGGCACCTCGACCACTGCTGTTCCCTCCCCGGCAGAAACCCCATTTCTCTAACTCAGGAGCCGGACATGCCCTCCTGCGTGTCCCCCCGCTCCCGCCCATCCTCCCGCCCCTGCCATACCCATCCTTCATCCCCAAACTTGACACTGCCTTAGATTTCGTTTGGAGGTGTGAAGGGAGCGGGAGGGGAGGAGGCGGTGGGGGGTGTTGTCTGCTTGGAAAAGCCACTGTTTAGTGTTTGCAGGGGGGAGTTAAGATTTTTTTTTTCCCTGAGGGGGGTGGAGAAGATCCATATTTGATCTTGTTCACTTCACACAGGGCTCCCAGACGGAGAATAAAGCCCCCTTCTGAATTATCCAACAGGGTTGAAGCAGGTTGAGTCAGTGAAATTCAGTTCCTTATTTTATGAGGTGTCAGAGCTGATGTCGAATATGGCAACGATAACTAATACTACAGTCTGAGGGACCAGAACGTGGTAATTAATCCCAAAGACTTAAGTGTATTTTAGTTCAGGAGAAAAAAAATCACTAATTCAATCGTCCGGAAAATTGAAGTTTGATGCATGAGTCTCTGCTGAAAGGAAAGGCTTTTTCTTCCCGATTCTGGGGTTGGGGCAGGAATCGCAGCCTGTCTTCTCCGCTCCCCGGAAAGGCCCCTGTACAGGCCCGCTGCCCGCCCGCCCCCAGCCCGGGGCACACCGGGGACCGGCAGGCTGAGGTGACACAGGGCTCTCTTCATTCCCTCCGCGTGTCACACCGTCTTGCCCGCCCGCCTCCCGCAGTAAACACTGAACATTCACGGCCATATCGCGACCGCTCCCTTGTATCGCGACACGCGGAAAGGCTGTCAGGCAGCGCCGCGCGTCCCAGCAGCTCCTGGCCTCCCACTGTCCCGTACCTTCGGCATCGGGTGCGGTGGGGTACCAGCACATTGCCTGCCTGCCATGCCCATACCCAGTCCTCATACCCTCCCCCCGCCGCCCTCGGCCCCGGCGCAAGGCCCGTATTTGCTCCCTCGGCTCTGCGGCACTCTGGGGGGCGCTGAGGACACCGGACCCCTTCCTGTGCCCGAGCGAGGAGACGGGCACCGTGGGGCAGCCCGGGCAGGGCCGGTGCCGCTTGGAAAGGGAAAACTCTCGGCGCCGTGATATCGGTGGGGCCACGCTCGCTGCATTCAGCCCCACGGCCGTGAGCATCCTCCTCCGAGCCGCTCGGCCGCGAACACCTTTCAGCCTTCTCAAACTCCGGTCTCTCCTCCGGGCCAAAGCGGGGAAGCCCAGCGGGATCACTCCTGTCCCCACCCCCTGCCAGGATCCCTGCTGTCCCGAGGGATCTTGAGGGTCCATCCGCCCCCAAGGGCTGGACTGACACCCCTGGCCTGTCCATGGGGTCTGGGTGTCTCTTCTGCAACGAGGGGCCGTACTATCGACGTGCGCACCGAGAGGTCTGGCTCTTCGTCCTCCCCGTCCAGGTGAGCTCAGGGCGAGTGGAGAACAGAGCGTGAAATCTTCCCTTAGGTTTTCCGGCGGAGTGAGCCCGTCCCAGGGGGGGATTTTCTCCACATGTCCCCATCCCAGGTCTGGTTTCCATAGGGGAATATCTCCAGTGCTGGAGGAAGGGACTGAGGCCCTCAGGGGAATGGTGCGCAGTCCTGTTGTGCAGGTCATACGTGGAGGCGGCAGCAGAAGGTATGACGTCATCGACGCTCACAGTGACTTCATCATCCGTCCCACTGAAGGCAAGTGGCCGTCGGAGCAGAGGCCTCGAGGGGGCTGCCGTCAGCGCCGAGCCAAGAGGGCTCTCCCAGAACCGACCGCTAGGTATCATAAGAGAAAGGGGCGACAGATGCTGGGGAGAGAGGGATGCCCGGGGGCTGTCCGCTGCCGGGAATCCTCTGCCGGTAGCGGTCTGGTCCTCAGCCCCTACCCCGGCCTCTGCTCGCCCCCTCGCCCA